GATGTTAGTTATAGTTAGATAACTATAATCCAATGAGTCTGTTTTATTTATTGATTCTGTATAGTACATGTGTGCATTGTATCATTTGTATGTACTGCACTTTTACAATGTTGCTAGTTTTTAAGTTGTTATTTTCATTCTAAAGGATATTACTAGTAAATATTAACCTGCAATGTTACATAATGTATTGAAGTTACTGTATTGCTATTGTCAGTGTTGTTAATTCACAACAGTTTAAATCAGCTTCAAAATATTTTATTTAATAAAAGTCATTAGCAAATAATATTTATTATAATCACTACAAGGTATGACAGACTGTAATATTGAAATGACATGATAATATATCAGCACATTGTAAACACACTTATGTGTGTGGGGGACAGTATTTAATTGTTACGACGAGTTTTCATCTCTGTGAACTTGAGACTTGTGTAGAATCCTGTCCAAGAACTCCAATGAATTCCTTTAGCACGTTGAGGTGAAGCATTAGAATAACGACCATTAAGATTTACAATAAAACAACCACTGCGAAACCACCAGCCACTACTATAGTCTTCAGCACAGTTATCTCCAAAGTTATCATTGTCATTATCTCTTGTACTGAATCTCAATCCATTATGCCAGTACAGACTATCCCCAGCAGTACCAGAGTATCCTCCTACTGTTAGTATATATTCAGTACTACCATCACTAACATTAAATGTAGAGTAGTTAGCATAAGCTGTGTTCCCCTCAAAGTCTCCCAGGTCCACTCTTAGTGTGTTTGATCCTTCTTTAGTAAGACGATGAATCTTGCTCAATCCTAACCAAAACTCACCAGTAAGGTTACCAAATCCATTCTCATAGTCAGTCCAGTATCTATAGAAATCAACAGATCCATCTTGTCTCCTTTGAAATACAGTCCATCCACCACCATCAGTCTCCATATCACAGTATACCTGTGATCCAATAGTGTATAATTATAAATTACTTTTAACTAACTTTAAATAGAGTCCCTCCATCAGGATTAACAGTATAAACACCACTTGTAGTAATACCATCCTCAAACCAGCTCTGCAGTCTCTATTATCAAAT